CGGTATCCTGTTGGTATTCCCCTCCAAGTAGCTTGGATGATAGCGGTGGGTCGTGGCACCACAACGCAAGTTATTTGGTGTCTGTTGGAGGTCTCTACGCGGAGTTACGGCTGGATTCGTGGTGTGTACCCCGCCTTTACATGCTGCCCCGTTTTTTGAGCATATCTCTGCAACCACTGACCGGATTTCGCCCCCAAAACGCTTGGGTGATAGCCACGAGTCATATCTACCCAACGCAATTGGTTTGGCGCCAATCAGAGCTCTGTGGGCTGAGATATTGGCGGTGTCGTAAATAAGAATTACGACACCGGTGTCGTAAATAGAATTGCCGTTGTTGATTTGAGTCTTTCAGGTAGATCTGGGGTATCCATGCCCACTGATGATTCGCCACTTGCGTGACGAACCAGGGAGGGTGTTCGTGTATTTGGATACGGACTGGTAGACCTGCCGACAACAACGGAAACACGCAGATAGGGGCATAGGTATACCATGACGGTTACTATGCGGTGGAACCTATGCGGTGGAACCTCTCGAGATTATCGGGACCTCACTCCCTCCGCTCCCCTTTCGCGTGCTTAGACTATTAATAACACAAAAGATAAAACAAATCTCCCCCTTCCAAGTAAAGGACATACAAACGTACGAATAGCAGCCGCGCTGACGGCCAGCACCATATAGATAGATGGCCAATCCGAAAGAATTGGCGTGTCGGAGGCCCTGTTGCTCTTCTGCTGCGTGGTGCCGTGGATTGAGGTTGACGTGTGTGTGCCCAAAAACAGATCATCATGTCGCCACATTTTTTCCAACGGCATCTGGGTGAGGTGGCACACGTCTCTCACACACCTTACTGAGCAGCACCCAAGCACCTAAAACCCACGAAGCAGCACGGCGCCGGGAGATGGTATCATATAGACAGCCGAACCGAAGGAATCAGCGCGTTGGAGGTCTTGGTGCTGCTGCTGTACTCGTTCTACTGTTTCCGTGTTTGATAATGTGTGATCGAAAAAACTTCCCCAGGCACCAACAACAGCAGCAGCAGCAGCATGCTGCAGTTGAAGCCGAGAGCACTACGCAATGTCTAGTTTTGGACCAAGAACGGACTGAACGCCGCTTCTGCCGCTTGTCCTTCTCCACAACAGACCTGGATGTGAGTCTGGCAGGTCTTTCTAGCGTTCTCAGTGATGCTACAGCGCCCGCGGTGCGCTTGTCCGATGCTTCTGTCACAAACACGGATCCGTGAAAGTAGCAAGCCCCAAAAAATCCCGGCTCCTTTTCACGTATTTTGGGGGAAACTCCTCCATAGATTATATGTTCAAGAAAAAACGATTCCGTGCACTGTTCCGTGATTTTTTTGCCGATAATAATTCCCCTACAGCAGCAACAGCAGACCCAAGACCCGATGAGACCCGATCCCAGATTCTCCAGGTAATCCAGGCAAACCCTGCAATTTCTTAACATCTGCCGTGAAGAAGTAATTAGTCTAGTCCTGTAGGCAGCGCTCGATGTACGTGTGATAGCTCTGGCCCAGATACATATGTACATACTAAGTACACCGTTAGCCATTCGTGTTTATTGCGAATAAATTCTCTGTTGAGGTGTTGTGTCTTACTTCTTTTTGAAGAGGCAAGGGCCGGGGTTGTTTATGATGAGTAGCAAATATGACGAACTTACTCCTTGATCGAGCACATGCATCATTCATCGGTAACAAGCAGTCCGCCGGCAACATGTTGAAACTAGTGAGGTTGGGGGGCTTGCGGACCCAGCGATTAATTCGGATTCCCCTCCTCAGGTATGAGGACTAAAATGCACATAGACTATATGTCAACAGCAGCAGTACTCGATCACATTCTTTTTTGTATTGATGAATACCCTCAACTATTTACCATGGCGACGACAGCAGTCCCCCCATTTTTGTGGTGAGACGTGCACTACACTTTTCAGTACATTTACATGTAGAGGGTACTTTTCAGTGTATCCATGCTGACACACATTTGTTCGGGTTGCCTGTGCAGGAGACTAGTTATATAGTGCGTACCGTGATCGATCTTGCGAGGCAAACGTCGGGCCACATAAGAAGTACGGGCGCCCACCGAACGACGTTGGGATGAGGCACGGGGACCTTCGGAGCAGATCAATCTCGGCCTACACAAAAAACCGAACCAAACACCAGCACGTATTCGTATGCATATACATGCGGTGAATTCCGTAGACGGCATTGGGCGAGCGTGATCGTGACGCGAAGAAACCCCGTGGTATAAATAGCGAGCGCTTGATTGAGTGGGAATTGAGTGGAATGGTGTCGATGTTGATTCGAGTCGGCCAGACAGCACTGGCCGTACGTTCGACGCATGCGTGCAAAAATACGCTACCGCGCCGTAGGGCGTCATCAAGCGTACAAGCACAACCCTGCCTTTTACAGCAGCACATACATGTGCTTGTGCCGCTTGTGCTGGCGAAATCACACCAGAACCACGACATGGTGGCGATGAGCAAAGTCCCGCCTTCACACGGACACAATACGATAGGTAGCACAAGACGTGCTCCAAAATCCATGGGAGGGTCGTGCCCGCGTCTTGTCAAACCCGGACACGAAATATACCAACCACCCACTGGACGTTCCCTACGACTATCACAACCCTGGTCCGCCCTCGACAAGCCTATGCCGCTGTTACCCGTCTCCACAGCCTGCGTCTCACGGCTTGGTCTCCCTGGACATAGCCCTCCATCCACACCGCGCCCTTCTGGGCGACGGCAAAATTTTCCCACTCTTCGGCACCCAAGCTTGGGGCAACTTCGTCTCGTTGTCCACCGCCCGCCTCGCTCGTGCCGGTGTTCCCAGCAGATGCGGGCGTCTCCTCACCTCTAGAGTACTCCCATCCTCCGAACGGGCACCACGGGAGGACCACCTTGGTCGACCGAAACGATGTTTTCCGTGAGCGTACACAAGACCGCGTCGTCGGAGAACAGAGCGACGGCAGCCGTTGGTGCCAGTCACCGGAAGCACGTCGGAGAAAGGTATTGGGAGACGGCGGATTCCAATCGAGTGATGCCGAAACACGTGTCAGCCTCGAATAGATGTGCTGCCTTGGCTCGGCTTGACCATAGCAAAGAATCGCATTTTTTTTTGGAAAAAACCGCCCAGGACGAACTAGACTCTACAGCCTCTCTCACGGGATACAGACATGTGAGAAAAAAACGGAGTTCGTTTTGGCAACCTGGACAGAAAGCACCCATTTCATCATTTAATGTTCTCTGGGAGGGACGGGACGAGGGCTGGGGAGAGAGAGAGACGGAGATAAATATATAGATAGCCGCGACGACTAATGTGCGGCGATGATTAGACCTCCAGGTGGCCGTCCCGCCTAATCGGCGGGCGGCCGCCTTACCCTAGTACACAAAGAGAGAGAGACGCTGGCAGCAAAACGAGTACAGACAATACACTGTGGTCAACGATGTCCCTTGTCCAGCCAAGTCGACAACAATACAACACAACATAAGAATACTTCTATCTTTCGATGACTCCAAACCCAACGTCCTTCATCTCACTTTACGTGGCAATCGAGTCTTTCGTTATACCACAAAAAACACCTTAAACACCAGCGACACGTAGGGGGACACAACTCGGTAGTAGAGTATTGAGCCGTACCTCCGTATCTTCTCCCACACCTGGTGCCACGTCCGCAAAATTGTCGCTCAAAACGCTTCCGTCCAGCGTGCTCCCTGCGACAAACGCGTCATGGCGCAGAGTATGACGAAATGTTTGGCTCTTGCCAGGAGGAGCGCCGTGGATCTTGCGGCGTTTGTTGTGCCAAGTAAAATAGTTGTGATCGGTCATGATGCTATCCGACGCTGGAGGGCGCCGGTGCAGCCAGCCAGTCTGCCTTCCTTCCACACATACCGCATAGTCTGTCTATGCGGGTCCTGTATCGACCATTGCCTAGGGTGCACGCATCGTTTCGTGGGCTTCACAGCTCCTCCGAAACACAACACAGACTTGTTGCACCAACCACTGCTTACGAAGAACATCATTAAGCAAGGGGTCACGGCCACCGATAGACACACCACTGAAAGTTTTCGGCATCGTACAACAATTGCACCCGTGCAGTTTCGTGCTTACATTTTCCGGCCCTCTTTTTGCCTGCTGTGCTCCACCCGGCCACACGCGTCCACCGCTCATACTCGTACAATCTGGCACAGACACATCAGTGGGCCCAGTGCTTAATTGGTTCGAGCATGGAGCTTTAGCGTAAACCCTCTGGTTTTGATTGCTTCTTGCAGGGCGTATCAATTTACCCTGTAGTAGGAACCGCACCATACATTTCTACGTTGCACCCAATGACAACATGACCTTATGCTTGCTATCTCACAGTACCATCAAGTTGATGTCCCGGCATCATCACGCGTTTGATTTTGCGTCGTCGTTGACAGCTTCACGCAACGGCAATGAAGTGTCGCCTTTACAAAGCCGCTACTCATCTCGCAAAGTTGCAACAAAGCATTCACTAAAATGTACCCGCGTGGTGTGGAACACCACCGCCTCACGTGACTAACGATATGGAGCCGCGAACATTTGAAATCCACCTTTCAAGTATGTAGAGGCAGGCCAATGCACGCAAACCGTCTTTTCATATTGCTAGACGATAAGGAATGACCTAAGTCATTGATGAGCCGGTTAGCACGGTCGTCGCTAAGCGTAAAAAATGTGCACAGATAAGACACGAAGCCCGTTCGCTCGCGTCTTCTGTCGGGCGACAAGACTACCTTACGCATTTCCATTGGTTAGCCGGTTTGTGTGGCCGATGCTTAATAAAGAAACGCATGTACGCTCACACATACACAAAGAGAGAGAGACGTACCTATCCTCTCGCGTGTCGATGGTCTCGTTCACTCGGCGACATCTCAGACCCAGCATCACCGAGCACCTGGTACGTCTAATAAGACATTGCACATTGCATATTGCACATTGCAACCCCACCGCACAACACACCACCCGGTACCATACAGCGGGCAGGGCAGATAAGGCACGGGGGAAGATCAGGGATGATGTACATCATCTCAAGACAAAAAGGCGCAAACTGTCTTTGTCACAACTAATTTCGTTGATGCAGGTGGCGCACAAGCGATGTAACACCAACAAAAGAGTGGACAGAAAATCATGAAATAGTGGCGAGGTATTCCCATTGCCGAGTACGGCCGGCCGACCTTGCGTGGTTCGGCAACACCATCGTTACAAATATTACAAAAGCTTTACCAAGGCCATACCCGCCAATCAAGTCGTACCTTTTGGGTTAGGGTTTATACTGTACCGTTCATTGTTCATCGTTTCATCTCCCCCACCTTTTCCCCTTGGGCTCCCTCATGGGTACTGCCACTCGTCTAGTGTTTCCCTTCATCGCTCCGGGCGTGTAAGTGCCGTCAACAAGAGAGAAAAGCCCAAGCAAGTCCACGAAGCCCTCCGCGATCGCCACGTCCCCATGGCGACTCCCAGAGGAAACAGATGCAAGGCTTGCCTCCGAAGCACCCCGGCGCAATGGCAGAGGCGGCGGCAGCGGTTGCGGGGTCGGGGGCGGTCGGAGCGGTCGGTACAGAAGCTGTAGCGACAAGAAGGCCTTGGAGCCGGCCACGTCCGTCACGAAGAACGTGAACGTCTCACGCCCTCCCTTGGAGGCCACGCAGATGTTATTGCAGGGCGTCGTGTTCAAACGAAAGGCATACAGATGGGCGAACGGACCGACACGTGTCATGTCGTGGTATGCTCCCTTCCTAAAAAAGGCGACGCAAGTGCGAGAATCTTCAACATCTGGAGGGCATGAGCGCTTGAAGTTACGATAAAATTCATCGCGTCTGAAAGTATGGGCGGGACTACTTTTGCCTTAAATGTCTTAATAACGTCGCAAAACGAACTTGAATTTTTTTCCCTGTCTTCGATTGGCACCCTACGTTGTTTTGTAGCCGCGGTAGATTCGGTTCTCAGTACTCGGACGTTGTCGAGGTACAGCGTTGACGTCGGCCGAAAATGACTTTCACGCAATGGTGGCAATCACGAAACCAACACCAAACAACTCCAACTATTATCGGGGTGTCACCGACCTGCGGTCAACATCTTGTAACACTCTCACCAACGTTTCTAGTGCGATGCAATCAAAAACGATTAATACTGTGAACGGCGAACAAATAGCGTCCATGACTCGCTCACCCAGCTTGGGTTGACGGGTCTGGTGGCTAACGAGGTCTGATTGACCTGCTCCCCGACCCCTTCTTGCACGGGCGTTATCCGGAGGATCGCGTACGTTCCAGCCAAGTCGGCCATGTTTACTGAAAAAGCAGTGGTAAATTCCAGACAAGGGGGTTTCGAACACGATGGTACGGAGCGCAAGGGTATGTGTGAGATACGTGGTCACCGTGTACGGCGTGATTTGCCGATGCGGCAGGCAGGAAAGGTTGTTTCCAAGTTCAATGGTAAAAAACACAGTCTCGTCACCTCGTTCGCCCAAGGGTAAATTTCTGGCCGATTCCACCTCCACCTCGATCAACTAGGCAAGTACGTGAAGAAGCAGTACCACAGGCACCACCGGCAGCCCCATGCCGTTCGATAAAGGATGGGCAAGAGGGAAGAAGAGACAGGACCAGACAGCACAAGACAAAAATAAAAAGGCATCATGGGCATTAGGATAGACCTCGTTCGGGTCAAAATTCGGCCGGCGGCGAGGGGGGACAAATGTGTGACGTCGGCGAACTTGGACCGATACATAGGTGGATCACTTTGCACTGTGGCAGAGGTCGGTGCTGCTGCGCTGAAGCTCTGCGGAGACGCCGCAGCGTCACCACCTCACAGGGGCCACGGGTGGGTGCAAGGCACGGAAACATGCAACACAGAAGAACGGGGCCTCCGCATAACCCATAACTCAGAGGAAACCGCACGCGAGCTGTTTCGTACTACTTTACGCGGTACATGCCGCACCCTAACGTCCGTGGGGAAATTCGTTGGCGACGGGGGCTGCTCGGTAAGCAGCGGAGTGCTAAGGCTTAGTTGCGCCCGAGACTCCCTCTTTACGCCGTTGGCCAAGCCGCCGTCGAGCAAGTCTGCCGGCCGTCGCTTGCCACGCCTGGGCCGAACACGCGGACAAACAACAATTGGTCAACAGGATCAAGGCGTGAAGCCGTTCAGTGAGCGTCCGTGTTGAGCCGGTTGACACGATTCGTGCTATTCTGCGAGTACTATACTCACAACAAGGTGCAGCCAAAACGTATGGTTCGTGCCGCCAGTCCCTCTTATCATGCTTTCGCTCGACTCGACCGTGCGCCATGCACCCAACGACACACCGATTGGGAAGGGGTGCTGCGGTAATGCACCCCCCCCCAACCCTCCTCGCGAATGAAATCCTGACTGTGCACGCGTACCAATGTACTTCCGCGCGGCGCCGAGCGCACCTCTACGCAACATATCTGTTTCGCAGCGCCATGCAACATCCTCGACAACACCCATGCAACACCTCTCGACAGGACACCAGCGGTTGCAAAGGAGGCTACTGCAAAACTGCCATCGGCAGGGTAAATTGCTTTCAGGTTACGTGTCTACTTCGAGGAGGGCTCTTTCTGGAGTGATTCTCTTGGCGTGCAACTCCCAGGTGACAGCATTCTCAGAATAGAGAGAGGGCGGGTCAAACCTAAGCACTTCGACTACTGCTACACCTGTACACAGCAAGCATATACACATTTACACACGGGAACAGTCGCAGTTCGTTTCGCGGCCACTTGCTCGGACCGGGTGAGTCGCAACAAACTGTTTCGGCAAAAGATGTGGTAATGAAAAATATGGGGGGCATGGTGCTCGGCAGACAACCTTTTGAAGTCCATCTCTATCCTTTGGGGAGAGATCAGCGCAAAATCGGTGGTGGACTGGCTGTGATTGAACCTGCAGAGATTCTTCCAAGCCATTTGACGACAAAAATGAAGCCACAGCTCGCCTGTGCGCGAGTGCATGTGTCATAAACTGACCATTTGCTGCAGAGAAACACGTTTATCCTCATCTCAGTAGACTGGTACTAGTTGGTGGAAGGTGGATTCGAAATCGAGGGAGCAGCGGGGGTGTTGTTGGAGTGCTGTTGCTCCGTGGTGTTGACGGCGGCGTTGACCTAGGTGCACGTACGTGTTCGTCCCAGCAGCTAACCCGCGATAGCACCCAATGCAACAAGAGCTCATGGTGCTGCACGCCCGTACCGTTGCAGCGATGAAGGTGCATGCCACACAAACCTGGACCAATTGAAGCACGGGAAGCAGCTGTAGAGCATGGAGGGGCAGATGTCGCTGTCCTCCTCTGCGTCAGAACACTCGCTTCCGGTGTCGTATGGCCTTGGCAAGAACCCCCCTCGATCAGCACCAGCGGCCACTATCCCACCGCTTAGGGTGCCCAGCCCATCTTCCGCCCCTGCTCCACCAACGATGTTGCTACCCCTAGCCCTTCCTGGAACTCTCTCCAAGAACGCCAAAGCCGAGGTACGGGGCAAGTAAGGGGTGTGCAACTGCGACCATCCCGTTGTACGGGTGGATTTTGTGCCCTGAGGCGGCACGAATCCGACCGGCCAAGGGTTTGTTGTCGCTGCTGCCACGGTGGGGCTATCTGTCGATCTATCGGATCGCTCGAGAAAGCTCAGAGCGTTGCTCGAGCGTCCGCGACTGGAACCAATGACGCTGCCCCACAGCCGCCGATGCCACACTTCATCGCTCCTGCTGCTTGTACTGCTGCTGCTGCTGCTTGCTGCCATCCGATAGAAGCGACTAGCGCCCCACAACCTGTTGTAATGTTCCGTGTGGGTCATGCAGTTACAAGTTGTACGTGTAGACATGCTCTTCGTTTCAATATATTTTACATGCATAGACTGAGTCTTAGCAATTGTCCTCCATTGCTGCTGTACAGTGGTAGCCGGAATACCCTCTGAAACACCTGTACGGTGGTGGGATGGTGGGCGGCGGTGGCTTGTTTAAATTCTGCTGCGCTTCCCGATGGTGCTGCAGTGCTCGTACCGTTGGTTTTCCAATCCCAAGCATCCAAAGAAGCGAGAAAATGGAAGTGCTAATTCACACAGGCGTACGCAATGAACTATTATGAGCACACTCCCGTCACGATCACAACGGCGAGGGCTCTGACGATGAACCATCAGCTATCCTGAACTCTCCACAAGACTGTCCCAAATACTTTAGCAACCTCTCCCACCAATGACGCCCTTCCCGTTGGCGAGAGCCGTTGTGGGGAAATTCTAATTATTTCGTGCCCTCGTGCGATCGCTGAAGCCGTACGAACCCAGCTATGACGCCACCAGGTCAGTCAGAGAGAGCAAACACAACATTTTAAAACGGCTTTTGAGTTTAAACTTTTTCGTGGACACTGCGTTCAAAGTCCTATGCCATCTTGTTGAGGACATCAAAATAACCGAAATGACCACCTAACCACCTTACCACCCAACAACAGTCGCTCAGTTTCTCGGTAAACTGATCCAACTGCACGACAATTTTAATTATGAAATGTCCCCCTCTTGTTACAGCTGTAGGTCGTAGTACCGGCACACCGGCGCAAATCCCGGTCTACGAGTCAAACTTTGAAAAACGCTGGAGTTCGTACCTTTCGTAGTTTTGCTGGTGTGCTGGTCGGGCACATACCGACACCACGACAACCACCACGTAGTATACCATGTTTTCACTCGGGACAGCAGCAGCAGTGCTGCGCGGGAGACTACAGCAGCATCGCTGCGCTCTTGACACGAACATGCCGTTACCCCTATAGATACCGATTGGGGCCTGGGGGAATAGGCTAGCCCCGATGGTCGAACAGTAGCCTCGGAACCTTACGTAAGGACGAGTCGGCATCCTTCGCTACAGCAGTATCTGGCTTTGTCTCCGACTGCGGTGCGCCTCTCGGTCTTTCCCCCCCACTTGTCTGCGACACGCACACGCAAGTTGTTCCCCGGACAGTTTCCAGACTACTTTCGTGTTACTACAAGGCCCACCAGAAATCTTCTGCAAACACCTATATTGGCACAGTGCGCGACTTTTCCCTTTTGGTCTACTGTACACAGAGTGCACCGATAGCAGCTGCTGTCTGAGCCTGCGCGCTGCCGTGGGCGAAGCTTCTGTCGGTTGGCAGCGTTCTACGTTCATACTGCTTACTGTTCATGGTCAACGTAAGTTTCCAGCCCACGCTAAGCTACAAGCGTTTCTCACTCACCAAACTCCGTCCTCTATCTCTTCCTGTCCGCCAGTGCGGTAGCTGGGCGCCGCCCTCTTGCGTAAATCAACTTGTGTACATCAGCTGGTGTACATGCAACACCAGCAACCCCAACGCTAAAGCTTTCAAGGGGCTCCGCAGAATCCACGGGACTGGCAGCTTCATCGTTTATTGGTCAGCTTCTCAACATTGTCCTCAACATCAACCGTCAACGACCTATGCATACGTCATGGCGACAATCACGTGCCACCCTCCTCCTTCCTCCCCCCACCGTCGGGCGTCGCACCTCTTTCTGCCTCTCTTCAATTCTCTCCATCTACCACTTCCCAAAGGTTTCTCGTCGTTGTGTGTAGCACGAAGCGTACGCAGAACAGGAGTGCGTACTTGCGGGCGCTGTCTAGTTTATCAGCAGCGGGGTATATATGTTCTCCAGACAACCCTTCCTATCGCAACGGACGAAATCTACATGCCGACAGCAGCAGCAGTGGACTGCAAAATCCCAGCGTCCTGGCTTGGGGTTCGTCATAGGTGCCGTGTGCCTCCTTGTGCTTGTTGGTGCCAGCACTGGTGAGTCTCTACTGCTGTCGATGGCTGGATCACCTTACCCCAGAGGATGCACAACTGCGTGCGCAGCGGGCGCGGCGGCGTCGCCGACGAGAAAAGGTGGCGCGCCACTCAACGGGCTGGGCAACGAAGTGGCTCAGGATGACGCTACACCCCTCGCCCCCCCATTATTAGAATTGATCACGCCAGACGGCTGTGCGTCGTCGTCGTTCTCCGAAACGTCATCTCTCGTAAAAAATATCCAGAAGGCCGTGGCAGGTGGTGTCTCCCTGGTGCAGCTTCGAGACTACAAATCAGGCGCCAAAAGCAAAGCCGATTTGGCCGTTCGCATATCTACGGCCCTTAAAGGGCGTGCGCTGTTTGTGGTCAACGGCGAGCCCGACACTGCTCGAGCTAACGGTGCGGATGGGGTCCATCTTCCCGAGCGCATGATGGACCGTCTCGTGGGTCTACGAGGCCAAGGAGAATGGCCTCGCATCGTAGGGTGCTCTGTCCACTCCGTCGCAGCAGCAGTGGAGGCTGCCAGATTGGGTGCAGACTATGTTCAGGTGCGCTCGCCGGGGTTCTTCGTCGAACGAAAGCAGTACGCCGTACGAAGCTCACATAGTTTACTTCACGTATTTCAACAAGAAGACGGCCTTCTGTCCTCATCACGAGGAGGTTTGAGCAGGCATATATTGAGCAGGAACGATCTATTTTCTCCGCACACGTTGTATTCGTCAACGGAACGAAACCGCTTGTTCCACGTCTACACCAGGTAGGGACAATGTTTGCCACCCAGTCGCACCCAGGCAAGACGCCCGAGGGGGTGGGAATGCTCAACGACGTTCGACGACAGCTACAAGTTGAAGGGCTCGACGTTGTCTTAGTTCTGGGTGTGGGGGGAATCGATGCGTCGAATTGTGGTGACGTGGTGGCTGCGGGCGGGGACGGCGTTGCGGCCATTAGATGCTTGTGCTCGAGCAGCGATGCGGAGGGGCAGGCTCGACGCATCGTGCAGGACATGAGGAACTCAGCAGGTTCTCGGTTTGCTGGATCGCTGGGCGATGAGAAGATACAGTAGCTGTCGCTACCACGAGGGACACCTGATGGATGCAACTGTCGTCACACGTGTGCGGCCAGGGGAGGAAGCGCGTGTGATTGCGAGGGGCACCACAGGTGGAAGGGAGCCTTTTTTTGTTTCTTGCTATTGACTTTGTCATGTATCTGGCCTCTGTCGCTTGTTGTGTCTCCCGCCGGCGCCTCGCAGCATCTCTTTTACGGTTTGGTATCTCTCTCTCTCTCTCTCTCGGTTAGCCACCCGCTGTTGTGGTGTCGTCGGCTGCCCCCTAGCGGCGGCTCTCTGCTGGTCCGCCCGCAGCCTGTGTGTGTGTGTCTTCATCATGTGTGTGTGTGTGTGTGTTTTTGTGTGTGTGTGTAAGAGAGAGAGAGAGAGAGAGAGAGAGANGAGAGAGAGAGAGAGAGAGAGAGAGAGAGAGAGAGAGAGAGAGAGGGAGAGAGAGAGAGAGATAATTCACTGTGTTTGTGCCATATGCTGCGTGATCGCTCGTGCCATGTGCTGTGTGATTTTCTCGTGCCCATCCAGGTTTATACCTTTTGTCCCCTGCCGTGCGTACGATTTGTTCTGTGTGTGGTTTGTGTGCGGAACAAGACAAAAAAGAGGCAATCGCCCACATGCACACGCACCAACCCACCTTTCTGCCCGTGCTCCATCGGTCTCCCTCGCACGCCTGGCGGCAGCCCTCTGACGAGCGGCAGCTCTCGTCCTGTCAAGCTGTGGGCTGCCTAGGGACTCCCTCTCCCCGCGGCTTTGTCTGCGCCGAGAGTCTGTGTGCGCCTCTGCCTCACGGAAGGAGTTCGGGTCAAAACGGACGTCTATTCGTTCAATTGCGATGAGCTCACAGCAGCTACATCCTCTATTTCGGTGGCCGCTGTATGTTGTCCCTCGCTGTGCCCGCTGTGCATGTGTCGCTGTGGACGCTGATCGTGTGTCGCTGTGCACGCTGAGCATGTTGTTTGTTGTTGATCTTGTTGTTGTTGTTTTTCTCCCATGATTGAACTCTGTCTGCCCCTCTGGCCCCTATCCTCCACTTCTACCAGCTAGACGACCCAACCGGGGTCACATAGGGGGGGTTGGACCCCCTCCTCCGGTTCTTGCCTGAGATATATTTTTATCGCGAGAAGGGTACAGCAATCCCTTCCCTCGCGACTTATGAAGCCGGTCAAGTTTACTAACAACGAGCTTTGCAGCGCATCGCTTCCAACGGAGACCAGGATTCAATTAGAGAGAAAAATTGCCCTCTGTCGGGACTCGAACCCACGACCTGGCCCATAGCAGGCTGCGAGGCTACCCACTAGACCACCGGGGCGACCGGTCTTTGTTGTATGCTGGCACTGTGCGTGTCTGTAGCTGCAATCTGCTGTGTGGCGACGTGCGGTCTGCTGACCCCCCTTTAAGTGATGTAGTCTAAAACCTAGATAAAGCGAACAGACACCAAAACTTTTTTTCTTAATGGGACGCTATATTGCGCTGAGACCTCCGGCCAGATTAGAAATCTCGCTTCGCTCGAATATAATGAACGATGTATTGACCGGGCTGGTGCCACGATGCTATATACAAGCTTCAGACCAGTACAACGTCAGTCGCTTGAGAAGGATCCGCAGTCGATACGTTGCCCAGAACCCTTGACTAAAGAGCATACACGTGTTGACGTACTATGTAGCTCTCTCGTGGGCTACGGTTTGTGTTGCTCGATTGTGTCGGTCGTGTGTGTGTGCGTTCTGCGCCCGTAAAGCTGAGTAACACGGTGAGACAATAAAGTGCTTGTAGTTGTTACCCAGTATGATCACATGCCCCAGAAGGGAGAGCGAGCGAGAGTGCAACCAAGTAATGCAATATCATTTGAGGGCGGCCTCCGGGGTGATCCATAGTCTACGCCTAGATGGAAATCTGCGTCCACCAGGACGTCGTCAAGTATTGCGCGGCGAAAACTTCACAAGCAATCGTCTCCTGGATTCGGAGAGAGCCGGGGAGTTGGTGTACACGCTCTGCCACACCCTCTCACGATGAAATGCGCGATGTGTTTTGTTGTGTTGGACCTAATAAGTGCAGTCATTCGAAGAACGATAACGACGAAAAAAAAACACAGTAGGGCAAGCTTACTGCCAACTCTCGGTTGACTGGCAATGTCTCGCTATTTCGAGAAATTTCAGAAGGCAACGTGTGTGTCCTTCCGAAACAATCGGTGCAATCACGTTTTGGGGGGATTTAATCTTGAATTGAATTGATGCACACCATGAAGGAGGCATGTCCGTTCGCGATCGCCATATTAAAGGCATTCCTTATCTTCTAGGCGCCATGAAATGCTTCCCTCTGTATCATCGAGTCATTTACTAGCCCGCCCCAAATCCGTCGAAAAAAACAACTTTCGGGTTTCATTTTAAACCCTGCCATAGATGAGCGTCTGCTGCACCCGCCGACAGCATGACCTAGAGTTTTGAATTTCAGTGGAAGAGGGGAATAGTCGGACTGAGCAACACACAGACCAATAGTTGTCACCACGAACCCTGCACCAAAACATGATTGGTCAATTCGTCGATGATACATATGATCTACAGCACATGATCGCACCAAACGTCAAAAGTTGGAGCGTTAAGGCCGAATTTCAACGGTGATGGATTTCAGAATAATCACCTTTCAAATTTAAAGGGGGTGAAGGGGGAAGCTTGGACAAATCGCTATGCATTGAACTTGACGATGATTCTTGTGCGTGCTGGTGGATTTTTGAGGCGTTGGTGCAATGATGGTGCAATGATGGCGCAACAGCCACTGTGCCATTTGAGTTGATATAAGTCTTGCGTGGAACCATAACCTCGCACAGGCGGCCTGACAGCGCAACCCGCACCACTCAAAACCGAGCGGCGTTGGAACGAAAGCTGTTAAGTCTTTCGGAACATGAACAATAACAACCAACAAGGAAGGGTTGTCTGAGCACCGCGGTAGAGTTTTTTTTTTACGGGCACGCCCAAAAACATGGAGCGATACATACCAGCACGGCGCTTGGGCGAACCCGAAGGCAGAGGGGGAGAAAACGTACACATGGCAGGCACGCATCACCCTGGGCCAAACTCACGTTCAAAGGGTACACCGACCGTGTACCGTGGGAGAGCGCGTTCTCGAAGGGTATGAAACTGCGGTACACGTCGCTTCCGGCACGTCGTCGATCGACCTGCTAGTTGCAGTGCGATACTCTAATAGCATGTGTCCCACAACCTCGTGAGTCGCGTTCCAAATGAACTTGCGGACCATTTGAAACACAGCGCGATTAAGGGCATCTACAGCAAACGTCCTCCTATAAATGTCGCAGAGGCGCGTTTACATCGTACCGTACGTGAGACCAAGCCGCTCGATCTGAGAAGAGCGATAGCCGCACACCATGTGGGTCTCGTTGGGGGGAACCGCGCGTGCCTGCGCCAATGATTCCTTCTCGCCAGGGCAGTAATCTGGCCCTGCCGATTCCCCGTCCGGGCCTGCTGGAGTCTCGTGCAAGTCCCGCCGGGAAAAGTCTATCAAGCGTTTCACGATGCTCGCCAAGTCTTCCTCGCCGGCAAACGCTTTCGCTCTTCGTCTCCCCCGACCTTGCCTTGTTCTGCATGGGCAGCCACATTCCCCGTCTCTTACTTTCGCTGCCCACCTCTGCTCTGCATCTTCTCTCGTGGGTCTCTCAGGCGCGTCCTTCTGTGGGACATCCATCGCACTTGAATGCTCCCTTGCTTCGAAGCGGTGCCCCCCAACCTCAGCCGCGGTGCGTATTCGGCGTGCCGTCTGGGCGAGGCGGCTTTTGAGGATATCTTGTACAGCGTCGATGGTGGGGCACAGCGGGTCTTCCGGTAAGCAGCGCTTGTAGAGCGCCTCGACTTCTCGTCTGGTCAACTCGCGGCAGGAACCCTCCGCAACATCGCCGAGCACAATCGGGCCCACGGATATCCGGTGTAGTCGGGTAAGCTCAAACCTGCTTAGCACAACAACATCAACACTGGACATCATGTGTCTCGCAAGACTAGCGAGCTAGAAAGTGATCGTGCTTCGGTGGAAGCGGCACATTACCCCCAAATGACTTAAAAAGGTGACGTGCCAGCGCGCGCTAGAGATACTTCCGAACTGCCTACGGGGGTACTCAACACATGTAGTTCCACCGAGGGGATGAAGTACGAAAAACATCGAGGGTTAACGACAGCAGCAGGGCTTGTACAGCAGAGTGCTGTTGAGGTGTTCGGGAGGGACACACTATTTACGCGTCATTCTACCATTGGTTGCCTAGGATGAAACCACGTACTGCATATGGTCTTCCTCCTACGGACAAGTTGTTTTGATTGCGAAATGAACAAATAAATTAAAACAAGGCTTCCAAGTTACTCACTCGCTCCGTCGGCACAACCGTCTGATCTGTCGGTTCTTGCCCTCACGCAACACCTGCTCACGAGTGGAGGCACCAAGGGCATGGGGTTGTTTGCAGCGCCGATCAGAATATCCGCGACAAGAGGTTGAAGGTTGCGCGACCACGACCACGACTGACAACCGATTGATGTTCAGCTACGACGCTAAAAACCTTCAATGGATTTGTGCTCAAGCAGGGCACAACTCCACAAATGAGCACCGCTAACCTTACAACGGCTGCATCAGACCACAATACACAGCCTAGAGATACGTATTCTCTTGCAAAACACCGATTTCAACCAGGAGCAGCTCGAATATCTACCGCTTGCCTCGGGCGTGGTGTACTGAAGCGTCAATAACTCCTGAGTCCAAAACATCGACTGCTCTTCATGAGAGCACACGCACGTGTAATACAGCCTTCGGATGCCCGGCCAACACAGATAGTTGAAAGTGTCCTCCACGGGAGAGGCTCGACCAAGCCGTCAACTCCGTTGTCTAGCGTCAAGGTTCCTAAGGTGAAGCGACCCAACTGGCACAGCAAAGTGTACCGAGATAGGCGCGAAAGAAGAGCGGCAAGGACTAACTGCACAGCAAGATCAAGATCAAGGGTCAACCTCTGCGTCCAGAAGGTATCTTTTGGAGACCATGGGTCTCGCGATCAAACGGACGGTATTCCATTTCAGCAGCATGTGGAGGTCTCACCACCTCTATCCAAGTAATCGTTGCTACTGTGCCCGGCTTGAATCTCCACGGAACCGGCTGTCCTGTTTTGAAGGTCTTGGTTAGCAAAACGCGCGCCTCCGCTGGCTTGGTCCAGCTCCCTGAGGACCATGTAGAACAGCAGGCTCGGAGGAGGCCAGTCATGGTTTACAAGTTTGGAACAAGGAAAGGAAAAATAGAGCGCTGCAGCATCGAGAGAAGCGTGACACGTCGCACGTGCGTGTGGCACACAGCTAACCCTATCCTACACTTGCGTAACGAAAGTGTGAGTGTACCCCTCACGCAGACATGTGATCGAATCATGGGTGTTGCTTCAAAGGTACCACGAGATACTCTACCACGTTCGTGGTCAACATCCAGATAGGAACAAGGAATACGCGGCATTCGAACCTCACCGCCTGGGCCGTCCAGCTTGCGGCTGAAGTGCAGAGGTTCTTGCAGCAGGTCCATCTGCATGGATGCCCCATGTTAGGCGTGGTGGGATGTCCACACGAACATGGCACGAGTCGGACGGTTGGATGGCTGGAGTGCCTCATCATACAGCACCCTCCCGTACGAAGCACCAACTACGACGTTCGTGTGGTAATCTCTACTCGCGTATACCAGGTACTTTCTTGGTTACCATCATCGGCAAACGCAGTCATCGTAAACATGAGCACCGCGCCGCTGCACTCTCAAGTATTCCTAGCTTCAAACACAGCGAGAGTTTACAAAAGGAACATTGCAGACGAATTTGAACCGAACCGTCTATCGCAAGCCCACCATGCACCACCCACGAACTGTTAATTTCAGAACTGGTATCGCTTGGCCTATTTTGTCCCGTGGAGTTTTTTTGTTTGTTTCTCTCATATTGCACTCTGTTGTCTGCCCCTCTGGCCACTATCCTCCACTTCTACCAGATGGACGACCCAACCGGGGTCAAACAGGAGGGGGGGATTCGACGCCCTCCTGCGGTTCCTGCCTCAGATATTTTTATCGCGAGAAGGGTACAGCAATCCCTTCCTTCGCGACTTATTAAGTCGATCAAGTTTACTAACAACGCACTTGCGCGTCGCTTCCAACGGAGACGAGGATTTCATTAGCGAGAAAAAACTCACTCTGCCGGGACTCGAACCCATGGCCTGGCCCTTAGCAGGCTGCGAGGTTACCCACTAGACCGGAGTATATCTACCGCTGTTTAGTTATATGCCAAATGAAGTATTGTAGCGTCCTGCATGGTAGAATAGACTCACCCCCTTATCCTCTGGTGTGATCGTGCCTGCAACGAGGAGGTGGTAGACTTTCTCCATTGAAGGCACCGTGCCCACGGCCGCCTTCCCTTTATACCTACCGTATACAAGAGGAGCACGCGTTACCAGCAGCTTCAGTTTGCCGTCACAAAAAAAAAAAAACTTGCGTGAGCTCGTCAACCGTTTCATGGAGATGTGGAGATATGAATTGATTGCTCGAACACTCTTGGCGTGTATGGGCAAGCTTAAGCTTGTGTGTCACAAACAATATTATACTGTGTCCAGTAGACGGGCCAAAGAAGAAAAATACAGGAACGTCCGCAGCTCGCCGCGTTGCATACTGCAGATGGACGTACTGAAGCAAAAGGGGGCACACGGCGATCGATCCCGATGTGACCTTCAAATAAGCATCTCCCGCTGCAGCCATAGTGGCTGGCCTTCTCCACTCCCGCTCGCTGCTGCTGGCGAGCGCGCGGTGACTCCCACAACATGCTGGTTATTCCATCCCCACACCGTGGCGAGGCCGGGTTAGCACGGCCCCTTCTGCACCACTGTAGTCTAGTAGTTCACCACGGCTTGGTGGCGTGGTGGTACATGGGTAAGCTCATCTAGCGAGCTGAAAATTAGTGCCGCATCAGACTTGAAATTGCGTGCAAGCTACTCTGTAGTTGCATCAATCTCCAAAGCAGCGTAGGGAAATCGAACCTTGCCATCGCCTAACGTCAATTGACGCTCGTGGCTGTGGCTGAATAGCAGCCGAGGACGGAAAAAAAAAAATGATACTTGCGACCACAGCAAGCAGCGATGCTGCCTTGGGTCGATGATTTCAAGATGATTTTCAATCTGTGGAGGTGCAGATAGATCCCGACTGTCGTTTACTGCTTACGTTGGGGACGAGATGGCCTTCTTGAGCTTGTAGTCATCGGTAAACAAGAGTACACCCGAGGTGTCGAAGTCAAGCCTGCCCACAGGTCCGAAGTTCGGCACACCTGCTAAGTGAGAAAGCAACATGGTTGCACCGCCGTGCCGGTGTCGGTGAATAATGCGTGCCGTTTAGAAGCCATGTGAGGCATGTAGCAAGGGAGGAGAGAGGGGAGGAAGAGAGTGGTGTGAGGGTGTGGTGCCAAGATGGGAGTACAGGTTGTGGCACAGCAGCAAACCAACCCTCCCAGTACCGGACGTCCAAACGGGGACACTTTGGGGACACAGCTACTCAAATGCCTGTTTTACCGCACCGTAGTCGTCACCATGTCACTATGTTCCGCTGCGTGAAACGCGCGTGGGAAACCTTGGTCTACCAGGCTTTTGTGAGGTGGTACGCTGTGTGATATACTGCAGTGTGATGCCTGCGTGCCTCTCCTGGGCCTACTCTGACTTGCTGTCCCACACAATATCTCGCAAGCCGCGAGCTCCCTTGCTGGTAAAAGTTGGTAAAAGTTAAAGTTGGTGAAACTGCACTGCTGTACAACATCCCTGACTTGGCTTGAGCATAGAAAGTGTCCCCAGTGCATTTGGGGACAGTCCTATACTGAAGCCAAGTCAGCCTTCGTCCCTCGGGACTGTACGCCCTGTCCCAATGAGCGGACGCGATTTTTCTGGGTCCATCACATGTAGCTGACCAACGGTGCTACCAAGACCTGCCGTACGCTCTATGTCGCAGTGTGGCAGAGAGCAGAGGAGGGGAGGGGAGGGAGAAGGAGATGGAGAGAGGTGGTTGACGGCTCCGTGCTACTATCTCAAGGCTGTTGGCAGTTGTTACCCTTAGCTAACACAGATTCACCTGCGGCCTTAGCGACGTCGTACACTGTAGGCCTGCCACGCCCGGTGTCGTCAACCGTGCTTGTGACACACCCGCGAGGCTTGTGAAGCATGAAGTAACGCATCGTGTGGCTAGTCAGAGGGTGATTGTGAGAGACAGCAGCCACTGCTGCAGCCACCTGCACCTCTCGTCGCTCAGCTGTCCCCTGACCAGTTGCACCTGGCGGGTTACACAGGTGGGGGGGCCAGTTGGCCGACAGGTTTGGGGGGGGGGTGGGGGGCTCCGTACGCCAGGTAAAGTCAGCAGATCAGCAGAACAGCGGCAAGTGCGCAACCCACAGCTGCGCTCCCTAGATGGTGTGTGTGATGATACGTTTGCTGGCACCACTCAAGGCAGGCAGTGGCCCTTTACTCCGAGCTTTTTCTTCGCTTTCAGCTGATAACGGAACGCAAGCAGGGACACTCTTTGGCAGGTGGGTCATGAGGAACGCGCATGTTGTTGATTCAGCCTTGCCTCTGACGGACAATCTCTCTACACATTTCAATTGAGCAGCACTTCAACACGGACGCCGTGCTGTATCCGTGATTTCACCACACCATATGCAATGTGCATACATCCATGTATACTGTCCTAGGTATACATCCATGTATACTGTCCTAGGTACACTTCCCTACGCGGTGGCGTACTGTAGTGTCGCTGCCAATCGCTCTGTTACCGCTCTCCACGATTCACTGCTGTACTCGTCCTAAACGACCTCGGAATTTTACCTGCAATCAATCGTCGAAAAATAAATGCGGGCGTTTTAAACGAAGCAGAGCACAAAAAATTTAAAAAAAACTGCGATTTCTGCGATTTTGGCGGTCAAACCGCTCCCGACGACCGCAGAGGCCGTACACAACAGCAGAGGCCGTACACAGCAGACAAACATCCACCATGGCCGACCAAAACAGTGTGACACCGCGGGTATCAAGGCTCAGGAGGGTTGGGTCCCTTCCTTTACGGTTCCAGACGAGCGGGGAAGCAGTTGCTGCTGCTGGTTATGGTTTAGGACGGCCTCAAATGCCTCTTGCTGTGGGCATCAGCCCTCCGCCAGGCATGTCTCGCGAGGTCGTCGCCGGGAGTACCGCCGCTCGCTCAGCCCTGCAAGGTCGTCGGCAGGCGTCTAGGATAGACCAGTCTTCCTCTCTCTTTGTGAGAGGAAGTGCTTCTCTAAACGCAGTGGGGCGATCTGTTCAAGAGGGCGTGGAGAACGACAACAGGCGGCCTTGATCGCAGCAGTAGAAGTCGTATCATGGTCTCTTTGGTCGGAGCGCCGCAGTCGCCGCCTTTGCGGAGCCGTCTGTGAGGTTCCCCGAAGCTCCCGGCGCCTTCTGTTGTCGGTCATGTACCCTAGCCTACTCTGGCGATCAGTTCTGGGGGTTATCGTGCAGCTACGGGGGTGATACAGGTGGCTTGGTGTGCTGTGCCCGATCCAACGTGATGCTCTTAAGAGAATCGCAGAAATCGCAGGTATGTACCTGCGATCGCAGAAAAGGAGCAGAGGTGATTTTTTCGGCCCTGCTCCCGACCTGCGATCGCAGGTAAAAAGCCTCCATATTCGCAGGTAAAACCTGTGATCGCAGGTTTCGCAGTTTTTTTTTGGCCTGTTGAGGTCGACCCTTACTCCTACCTGGTTTTCTAACCGGCGGTAGTCGCAATCATTCGATTACACGGGACAGCGTGTACATGTAGAAGTATTTTGTTTGTGGTATATTTGCACCCAACGTTAGTGAGCACGGGGTGAGAACTACCTCGTGCTTCCATAGGGTATGCATCCTAGATAACGACAACGCTGTTGCCTATCGATACTGCCTCCCAAGCGAACCAACCCTCACCATCTCCGATATTGTAGTCTGACGAGGGGGCGCGTTGCCGGAGTTCGAACCTACGAGTTTGATACTGGACATGACATGCTAGAGGGCGAAATGTGCCGTCAATACTGTCGAGGGCCATGCATGTGTTGCACGCGACACAGTCGTGACCCCGCTGAGAACTCCGCCCCCCTCCCTCGTCTCCGAACCTTCCCGATGCCTCTTTGGCCTCACGTTGACCTATGGGTTTTTTTTGGAAACTGGCGAGAGAAGCCTTGGTGGAATCGTCCACAAGGATCTCCCCCCGCTTGTGTATCACGAGCGCTACAGCGCGGACCCATGGCCCCCGAAGCACAGTTTTCCCATGTCAAAGTTCAGGGACCTCGCAGAACTTCTTGCCGATACCAACGGCCCGCTTGGCGATGAAGGGCCGGTCGCGATGAAGGGGGCGTTTCGTCCGATGGACCGGCCTCCTCACAAATGGTTCGAAGCCGTGCACGATCCTCTGTACTACAGGGCATTTGTCGGCGGTACATTGGACGGAAAGGTCATACGCAGGTGACGACGCTGCTCGATCAGAGCCGCAGGGTTGCTGCTGCTTTCACTCTCGACACGAATAGGCACACCACAGGCGCCGAGCTTTTTCGTCTTGTGTGATGCTGCTGTAGGGCTGAACTCGTTGCCAGTCGCTAATCCTGCGCTGTTTTGGTGCTTGGGGTGCCCCCTAACGGCGGGCCCAACCTTTGCGACATGTGTTCTCTTTTTGAACCGGTGAAACGTTCGTCCGGGCATCGACCAATCTCCACGTCATCCCTGCCATCAGGATCGGCCTCCCCTACACCGAGCCTTTGGTGGATCGAACGTTGCTTGAGGTGTCCGGTACCGTTCTGGCGGCCCGACTTGCCCTCAAGTTTGGTCTAGCCTGCAACTTGGCCGGGGGCACGCACCACGCGCACAAGGGCTTCGGGAGCGGGTAGGGCTTCTTCTCTGTAAGGGTGGTTGTATAGTACTTCTAGCTGCGAGTGCCCTCAGTGCCAGGTGCCCCTACAAGCTTTGCAGTAGCGGCAGAACCCGCGGCACAGGGCGGAAGGGAGTCTTCTGTCGCTGACTCTGGGTTCATGTAGCTTCCTGGGAGCCTCATGCGATACAAATGAAGAGGCCCCCGTTGCGGTAACCAACCCAAACAGGGAAGCGGCTGATTCCGAAATGGCGAGCTGCCGAACACTCCCTGTATGGCTGTCGTGGACCCTCTTCTTTACTCAATGTCGTTTTTCTCCGCTGTCCACGATCTCGCCTTGGCCGATTGTACATGGCCACACGCCCTCCGCCTGCAGGTACACGATTCTTAATGATCTGGCGGTGGCATCTCGGGTGGTCCAGGCAGACGGCACTGCAAGCAAGGTGTGCGCTCTTCCTCAAGGCTTAGGGAAAAAACGACGTCGTGTGTACATACAGCCCAGAGAAATGGCTCAACTGCAAGCACTTTCGAGGAACTCGTTGCTGTGTGAAATCGGAATGCCGCCGTGTTTTACGGCAGACGCTATCGTGATAGTGACGAGTGAGATGGCGTTGGCGCCTCGAAAGGTTGTGCGGTGCACCGTCTTCTTCCGTGTTACGATGGGTCATGAAGTAGTCAACACCCTCTTGCACCCTCTGCTGCGGATTTCGCATGGTATCCGAAAAAGTTCTGAGCGTCGATGACGCTCACATACCATGCGGCTACAACCATCGTGACCGAAGGACACAAGAATCAGCCCAAACGTGTTTATCCCCTGTGTATGGTTTCCGAGCGCCCTTGTTCCTTACTTGGAAAGAAATCATGATTCGAGAAAGTCTCCTTCACTCGCTTAACCTGTTTGCGACTACCCCACGTTTTCAGTAGGTAACCATCGTCGACTGCGACGTGCATCAAGGGGACGGCACCGCAACGATCTTCGCCGACGATGCTTCCGTCCGAACACTCTCATTCCACTGCCAAGACAATTTTCCGGCCGTGAAACCGGTGAGGTGCCGGTCAGCTGTCTATCTATACAGTATCTATCCCCCGCCGACGGCAAGGTCGAAACCGTCGCTTCTGGTGCAAACAGCTTTGTATTGTGGAATTATTCTGTTTGCTGGTCGCCTCTGCCATGGAATATCGGCACCCTGCTTGTTTTCATTGCTTGGGAGCTTCAAGGTGGAGGAATGTAAACTGCTGGTCCAAACTTCCACTGCTGTTGTGTCCCGTTTGTTGCTCATGTCGCCCGCTTTTGTTTGCGATTGTTCATGTGGCTGCTTCTGCAACCTACCGCTAGGCCTCCGATATTGACGTCGGGTTCCCGCCGGGAGCTGGCGATGAGGATTTACTCTCGGCGCTACGACGAGTACTGCCGGACGAGTTCGCAGAGTACCCTCCAGACCTCGTCCTGTACGGTACGAGAAGGTCGTCGTGTGCACTCCACTTCCTCTTCTATCGCCGCGTCCAGATGACGGCACTGCCGCGGTCATTTTGGACGTGCTCTTGCCTTTGGTGTTTTAAGTGCGTCGTGGTTCTGGGCGGGATAAAGCGCAGCGCATACAAAACAGCTTTGAAGCGATAACACTGACTCACAGACGACTTAAGTCGGCCCAAGGGCTCTCATGAGCATGCCTCGACGGGAGCAGTGGATCCTCACGGGAAGGATCTTGGTGTTGAGAGAGGCAGGCAGACCCCCGTCTCCTTTTCGAGAGCACGTCAAGTCAAGCGAGCCGGCGTAGGCACACGAATGTTCAGTTTGACGTACACTCCCCTCCGACCCATCGTTTCCTTGCAGACGCTGGAGTGGACATGCATGCCGGTGACAGATTAGGGAAAATGCTCCTTACAGGTGAGCATCGGGCCCTCGCACACCCAACATATTTTAGCGTAACGCTGATACAATCGCGAATGTATTCGTCATCCCGACGCCCGCTAGGAACCTCTTTTTCGTGTTGGCAGCCCTCGCCAGCATGGCTGCTAGTACGGTAACACGTACGGTACATATTTGTACGTTGATGCTGCCAGAGCATCCTGTGTCTTTCAACACGCTCTCAATTCTTTAGGCCACCTCGTGATATATCGTTCTTGAGATGGGAAACGCTCGAAATATAGAAGAGGGGTGCCCTGCCCTGAACGCCGAATGATTTTGGCCTCCTAACGGCTTGGCAAATGGAAGCAACGCTCGTGTTGTTGTGCTTGCCGTGCCGTGTGTCGCCGCACGACAGACGAGGGCCTTCTAGCTCGAGACTACTACGTCATCAGCACGTGCCTCGATATGGGTTTACCGGTAGCCTGCGTGGTGGGGGGAGGCTACGACAGCGACCGAGATGTGCTAGCACGACGGCACTCGACTGTATTCAAGGCAGCTTTTCAGGCGTGGCGAGACTTTGATATGCGTACAAACTGGAGATAGCATCCAACCTTCTACGCCTTTATTCAGCGTGCCCCCAGTGGGGTAGATTGATGGGTGGCCTCCCTTGGTGTGTGCGGACGGCCATTTTCAGCCTAACTGGCGAGCACCTGGAATGGAATACTCGTCGGCATCCCACTTTGCACGCGTTGGGATGTCGTAAGCAGATGTTGTTCATGTAGACCATGTGTTGATTTTGGACCCCTCACACGTGCGTGGGGAAATGGCATGGCGGGGTCCGACGTTACCCTGGCCGTACTACATACAATAGAGGGGTGCAAGCAAGGATACTGCTGTAGCATACATGTTCCAAATTGCATTGGAATAGTTTGTGAGCTTTGATTCCTGTCCTGTTTTGTTGTCTTTGCTGTTTTGGTCCCTCATTCGTGTTCGAGTGGGAACGATGGGCTCAATCTATATGTGGTCTCATTGTCAGACATGTGGACTGCGACGTACATATATGTGAATTCCTGGAGCTTCGTTCGTCCTTTGACGCTAGGGCTCTTGTCTTCGTTTTCTGTACCACATACTTGGACTTCGAAGTATTACAATATTGTTCTTCGTGGACCGTGTTGAAACTTCCTTGTAATGGAGGTATCCCGTGACCGCGGAATGCTTCCGCTTCAGTACAATATTTCGGACGTTCCAAGGAGAAATTGGAACAAATGATTGATGTGAACGACAACACTGGCAACAAACTACCCTCTAGCGTCGGGGTTTGAGGAAGGAACAAATGGGCTTCAGACGAAGCCGACGTATGAGCCACTGGACTCCATTATTCTATTTTTCTCCCATCATTGGACTCCGTCGTCTGCCCCTCTGGCCCTATCCTCCGCTTGTACTAGCAAGACGACCCAACCGGGGTCACACAGGAGGGGAGGGTTAGACCCCCTCCTGCGGTTCCTGCCTGAGATACTTTTTTCGCGAGGAGGGTACAGCAATCCCTTCTCTCGCGACTTACAGGGTCGATTCTGGTGTACATGTACTAACAACGAGCTTTGCAGCGCGTCGCTTTCATCCTAGACCAGGATTTATTTAATGAGAAAAAACTCACTCTGTCGGGACTCGAACCCATGATCTGGCCGTTAGCAGGCGGCGAGGGTCTCACTAGACCACCGGGGGCGACCGTTGTCAATGACTGCTGCTTTCGGAGTGAGGACTTCCCAGATAAAGTAACGCAACCTGCCAGCATACAATTGTAAGAGAACGTTCAAATGACATAGTCTACTGTTGCACTTCCCGACTCTTTGTACTTGTTGTCCGTAGGAGTACATCGAAGGTAGGTGTGTCAGCATGCACAGAAAGCTTTGCCGCGGCGGGAAGAGGAAGACTCCGTTGGGCCGTCGGGTCCTTCAAACGCCGCTTCACGCTTTTGTATCTCTGCAAACCTTTCAAGGGGCTCCGAAGTCTCGACAGCAGGCGGGAGACGGGAGACTGAACACGACGCAGCGGGAAACCGGTTCGCGTTGTACCTCAGCAGCTGTACCTGCGTCCTGCGTAAGACAAAGGAGGGGGCCTGAGAGCACAGGCAACACCGTTGCTGGACACAGACCAACCTCCTGAGACGAAGTGGCCACCATGACTCACCAAAACATGGGCGATACGGTGAAACTCGTTGGAGCTATGATGCGCCTTCGACACAACACCAAGTTCAAGGTGAACCCACATGTACCAACCTAACTGACGCTCCGCTGCTGCCATGTGTTGTGTGCTGCGGTGATATCATGGAATTGGAACAGTAAACACAGCACTGTTAACGTTCACGACGGCGACTGCTGGGTCCCCCGTGTTCTACAGCAGGTATGTCGCAAGTAAGCGCTGATTTCCGTGCGTACAGCATGATGGATATCACACCGCATTCCTCAGATACCACACCCCTCACAGCGAAACACCGAGAGGTGCTGGATACGATTCTCGATACTGTACTGCAATAAGCTAACTGCAATCCTTCGGTATACCGTCGGCAACAACAGACTTTCTACCTTCTCCTGTGTGACCCCAGCTGGTGCGTCAAGCATATACTTCAGTATTATACTGGAGCGCAATCAAACACATGCTTCATTCAGTCTGTATCGTGGAGTAGCTAAACGGTGTACACTGGCGCCCTAAACATATATATGGGACGAAAACATCAATAATCGCCACAACAAACTTGGTGCAACCAGACATTGCACGTTTTGTACATGCACGATTGGCGAAAGGAAGGTCTTGCACACGCGCAACAGAGAGAGAGAGAGAAATGCTGTGCCGTTCTTTCGTACTCGAGCAATATTACATTCCTTCGTCGCGTTAGTTTTCACCTACAGACAACCAACCCGTGATCATGCAGGCGAGTGCACAGCTGTTCGATCGATCTTGAATCTTTCGATGATTGGATGGATCTAAGTTTCCTAGCGCAGATGCCGATGCCCAAAAGGATTGTTGGCAGAGATCCCGTGCAGAGACTCTCTGCCAGTCCGGTTTCGCACCCTCCCTCTTGGTCGTGGAGCAATCAATCCTTAGAAATCGATCTTTCGCACACCTGTGCGATCGCCCGCACTAAGTGAGCATTCGAATTATTGGCTGTTGTGGCTTCATACGCCGTGTGATGTGCATGTACTGCTGCAACACAAGCGCCTCAGTTTGGTGGTTGTAGTGTTCCTCACCTTCGACCATCGTTGTGTTCTATACCGGCTCCAAAGGGAGGAGGGCTAGATTTGGGCGAAGCACCAAGCTCGGTGGCGTCACCAAAGGAGCACCTAGAATTCCTCCGGCTGTTCCGAGACCAGATGCGCCAGCGTCAGGAGGAAGGGGAAGCACACCCTCACCGCGGCGCGGAGGTTTGTGCATTCCTACCCCATCCCCGTTTGTCCTTCAAGTTCATCCTCGCTCGCATCGACGGTCTTCTACGACGAAAAACTTGGTGTTGGTATTTTCAAGTTGACGGGTGCCTGCAGGATGAGACCGTATATTTTTCGCTTGACAGCCCGCGGATACCCGATAAACTCGTGTCCAGATACACATCAGCTACTCGTGTAAGCATATGCTAGATTCTCCATGCCGTAAAGTTGGCGATTTTCCACCAAAACATGAAAGATATTCTGTTCTTCTGGCATGCATGTGTCCTACACGGTGTCTGCCGTGCGTGGAGTGGTAGCGACAATACCATGTAGCAAGACGTTGCCGTCTTACCATTCCACCTGGCTCTGTTTTCGTTTGTGCACATGTCGTTTGGTGGGGCCTGTTTTTGGGCAGATGGCCGGGGATGAAGACATGCTGGCGGCCAACTTTGCCGAAGCCCAGGTATGCACCGCGAGCTCTCCATGTTTCCAGGGGGATGACGTCCCGAAAACGCGGCCGTTTCGACCGATGAACTACCGTATTGAGTGATTTTCAGATGATGGAAGAGGTCCCCTAGCGTGTCACGACTACGACAGTAGTGGGGAACGTTATCATAGGGAATCATTGAAGGGCACGACGTTACTCGATGAACCTCTGACCGGACCGCCTTTGCGAGAAATTAAGTATATGAGGACGTAGAACAGTGCGGGGGTACGCAGGCCGTGTCCCCGACCATTTAACCCTACCCAACTTCCCCGATGGATGCTTTATCCAACATGATTACTTAATAGATTACTTAATATAATAGAACAACTCTCCGAAGGCTACTGCGCTGACCCCGGCACCCCTCCTCCGGTGGGTGTCCTGCCGCCGCGTGTTACTTACGCATGATCCTAACCGAAGATCCGGGCTCTGGTGAACAACGAGCTCGAGGCATGCGTTGTGCTCCACGAGAGTAAGGAGTTCTGGCAGCATCGCCTTGATAGACTGGGCGCGAACATCCTTAACTGGATAGAGATGGGTGGGTCCCGTTGTTTTCTGGCTTGAGCAGCACATACACACCTTTGCGTTTTGTTTGATGCCGTGTCCACTACGGTCAATGTCAGGCGGGCACTAGCCAGGTTGACGTTAGTTATCATTAGCCCCGCTGCTGGAGTATTCAAGTGGTCGCCTGGTGTGTTGTTGGAACTGCTATCGTAGTCGAGGTTGTTGGCCAGATTTTGCGGCCATCTCGGCTCGGCGTGATGGACGCCATGGGACCAAGTTGCTTTGACGGATCCTCACACGTAAAGTCGAAACGCGTGAAAGTATCGCGGCCTGCTGTGCTATAGACTACTTGTTTGGTGGTGCTGTGTTGGACCCTCACGGCATGTATGCCTACGTGTGTGGAAGGGATTGACTGTAGTTTATAGTCACTCGCGAAAACTCTTGTGCGCTAAACGGTGTAGCGTCGGTTCATTGAGACATGAGACATGAGAGTAACGCTGCGGGCATGGTATTTTCACCACCAAGTGTTGGAAGAGCGTCGAAAAGCGGTAGCAGAAGCGGTTGAGGTCTTGTACAACGCCCAATGATTGGGCGCTGTTAGCATGTGCTTCCTCCTCTGGTACAGCTGTAGAACGCTGTCTCGTTCAGTAGCTCTGGTCCCTGAAACGATGTCCGACTCATGTCCGACGCTAAGCTTTCAGAGTGGGTAGCAGCAACCTACCGTATACCATATTACACAAGGCGCATTCCCCGGTAACCGAGTTTTGGCTGCTAAGAAGATCATCACCGGGTAGGTGCTGTTTTGGGGGGGCTACTATCTTATGCCGCCTTACAACTCGATCTTGGAGTGGTTTTTTTAGTTTGGGCTCATGATGACCTGTAAATATCTCACCACCGCCTGTGGTATTGTGTGTGGGGGGTGTTATCTCTACTCTTCTAATGTACCTGTCATATGTACACTATCTTGTGTGTAATAATGATATGGTATCGCGTTGTTGAAAATGTGATGCCTGCGTTTGCTCTCACTGTCGTGCGAGTTAGCCTTCTTACTGTTCTTTGAACCACATCAAGACATACAATTGTTTTTCGCTGCTGCCCGTTGTTCTCCTAATGGTGCTTCGGCTGTGGATTCGCCGATTTATCTTCGTGCAAGGTCCGTGGACTTGGAAGACTCACACCACTCGGGATTGCTGGGAGTACTACCTGGGGAGTCTCAGCCGCTGCAGGCGTCTCCTCAGAAACAAAATCGTAAGTGATGCGCAGCGACTGCTGCAATCGAAATTGCTGGACGCCTTCCTTGTTTTCATGTCGTGGTAGCGAACGGGCGCATTTACGCCAACGCCCTGTCTGTAGCTGAGGCAACCCCAAGACATGTGCACCATCATTGCCATCAAGCATCACACAGCTTCTGCGTTTTGGTTACGGTCTATGTAGATTGGCGTTACCGCTCCTAATGCCTCCTAAACTTAATTTCCCACCCCCTATGTCTGCCTGCATGTTCAATGATGTATCGGCTGTCATGCAGCTGAGTGCGGGATCGCTACAACTTCACCTGACACAGATGAAGCAGGTGGGTTTTGTGGACGTACTAACCGACCGTGTTTCACCGTGGGCTCCAACGTGAAAGCTACAACCCTTGACTCGCCTCCATATGCACTGTGACATGAAGTGCGCCGAGTTTTTGTCGTCTGCTCACTCTTGGCGTGTAACGATGAGTGAGCTCTCGTTGCGTTTCTGCAGCTGTTTGGAAAGCAAACTTCCAAGTCCGTTTCCAGAGACTGTTGTGGCCGTCAACCAGTTTGTCGTGTGTGTGTGGCCTGTTTCCATCTCTGTGCAGGCCTACATGGAAGGCACGTTGAGCGAGTGGACGGCAGCAGCGTTGGTACTGATCCAACGTACCCTAGAAGCCTCCGCCGACGGAATAACCCGGGTGAGTAGCACCACCAGCGGAGGCAGCAGCACCAGCCGCAGACGCAGCCGCAGCAGCCACCCCCGCCGCTCGCTGGCATCGGCGTTGACATCAAGAGACTGCAGCCCCACACATAGGAATGGTATATGGCGTAGGGTCGGGAGCGATGGGTCTAGTGTTGCGGAACACAAAAGGGTTCAGTCGGTGCTGCGGCGAGTGTTGAGCTTGGGCCGACGAGACCGACATGCTCAAGAGTTCGCTCAAGGCGGGAGTGGAGACGGAGATGACGGTCAATCTGAAGGCGGTCAACAGCAGGTGGAAAACAGTCAAGGACAAGAAGATGCTACTGAAGAAGGAGATGCGACGACGGCTCACGATTGCGTCAAGAACGGTGGAGACAAACCTGCTGCATTCAGAACTAGCATCGAGGGCACCTCGGACGGTAGCAACCGCGATCCCGGGGGACCCCCGTCACCTGTACCACCAGGCCCGGAAGAGGAGGAGACTGGACTGGCGAGAGCGGACTTAGCCGATCTTCTAAGAGATGCTCAAGAGGGGATGGAGGCGGGTATCGGGGCAGGGCAAGGGGGGGACATCATCGGAGCCTTGTTGAGAACATCGGAGGAGCTAGTTGCTACGGTCGAGACGCAGCAGAAGGCGAGCAAAACAGGCTTGATGTCAGCGAACTGACGGGCGAGAAAGATATACATGTTCCGGCCGCAGGCAACGATTCATGTGTTTGCTAGGTTGTAGGAGCATATCCATTGGGTCGCGTGCTTAGTCCCACGGTTTGCACGTTTGGCGATTATGCATTGTTGTCTGCATTGCAAATTGAACTGCTGTGACTAACCAAATTCCGGCTTTCCTGGTGTCAGGAGAATCAAAGCGCCTTCCTGCCGTCTCTTCTTGTCTCTGCCGCCTCCCCCACGTGTTTGCAGCGCTTTTGTCACAGAAAACCCACACACCGTGTAGTCGACAGCACCAGAGCTCGTGGGCAGAGCACCAGTTATGTCGTCACAGAGATGCTGCGGTGATGTCGCCCTATCGGGAAACCCGACACGGTGTTGTGTACCCTGCCAAACCGACTCAATCGAATCGAGCTCGCTGTCGTTGTTTCATTGCACGTGTAACCCCCTTCCCATTTGTGTCTACAGAACATGATTCCTCTGCTGCTGGGAAGATTTGCGGCTCCGTCAAGGATGAGACGGAACTGGATGTTCATTGCTGTGGCTACCCCAGCGGCGTTGGTGGCCATGTTCTACATGTACAGGAATAGGTGGGCGACCCTGTGGTTGGGTGGGCATGTGAGGTTCCCTAGTTGCAGGTGGTTGCACGAGGAAGTTCGTCAACGATGGAGACAGGCGAACAGCAGTGCAATCGTTGAGAAAATGGAAAGAGAAATGGAAAGAGATCCCCTGCCTCACCTTGTTGAACGTCGACGACAGTCAGAAGGGTGGGTGAGTCAGCCAGCTTTTAGGCCGGCGGCCGACAGCAGTCGAACAACAGCACGGCAAGGAGTGTTTGAGTTGGACCACAAAAAGGCGCTGGACGCCTCATCCAAATCCAATACTCAAGTTTGATGATCAACGGCTGCGAGCAAGCACGCAACAGTGCACCAACGAATCCAAACTTGGGCACGAAAATGAAATAAGGCGTTATCCCGAAATTATGTTGAAACCTGCGTGCAGTCGACCATTGCCATGGTCCCTCCCGCGAAGCCCACGAGGACAACGAAGTAAGACCGAGTGTATTCATGTAACCAATTTAATTGCATGACGAGGTATCACGTGCACCCTACTAGAACGCTCTACCGTCGATGGTGTTGAAACTGTCCTGACGCTAGCATACGAGCAACGCATCTCAGAAAGAAGCAATAGCACCCTTATATCACGTGATTCTCGAGTCGGACGGTACATGTACTTACGAAAACCCATGTGTCGTGTTATTGCCCTTTTGATGACGTTGCCAACAGGAGCTGGATTCAGAGGTCCATGCTCAGGGTGCGTGGCAGCTTTTGGCAGTTTGTGCGCGAGCACATATCGGAACCCTTCTGGGGCATCTACAACGAGCTCGTGCACAATCAGCCCCTGACGCTGACGGACGCCAATGCCTTATCCGACAGCTCATTCAGGTGCCGTGACTTCGTGCATCCCACTCTACGTGTACAGCAGTACTGCTGTACGACAGTGGTGTCGTGTCGATTTGCATCTTGTGGCATTGCTGTGGGACAGTGGAGTTTATTCTTCTACTCGAGAGTAAGCGCCCTTAGGAACCACGAATTTTCCAAACCTAGGCTAGGTCGTCCCTGCCGTTCCGATGGCTCTCGATGATGGAGAACGTTGAGCTGTAGCTAGCTATCTCCACGTCGATGTCGGGGCAGTGAAACCACATTGCATACATGTCTTCTTTGGCTTGACACCTCCTTCGTTTGTCTAAGCTCATGGATGTACGCGTTGCTTGACTTGTTCCATATTCGGAAGCATCGATGTACGTACGTACGATCCTTTTCGATCGGCTAACTGGCTGTGTTCGAAAGCCGTCAACAACCGTTTGGACTGAAATCACGCCAAATCGAAGCTTGACGTGAACACATTGGTGGAAAGGATGATAATTTGTTGGCGGCGGTTGCTGTCCTTTCGTCTGTGGTGTGTGGCACCGACCTTTCACCTTAATTCCATGCGGGTGCCTTGTGCTTGTCGACGTTGAATGGTGCGTTTTGTGGATCCGATCCCTTCCTCGAAAATTTGAATAGAAGCAATTCAAATCGACCCGCGATCGATCGATCCCTCCGCTTCATCCTCCTCTCCACCCTTTCTCTGTGCCGCATTCTAATACACGACCCGGCATGCCATGGCCAAATGACACCCGGTACACTTTGACAGCCTCCAGCGGATGTTGGAAGCCTTCATCAAGGACACCAAACCCAACCTTTCCGAAGGAGAGGTATGTGTCTCACTTTTTAGGACTATGGTAACAGAAAGTATGTTGACGTAGCTCGAACGGAACCAGCGCTAGATCATGAAGTACTGCTGTGGCGCTTTATTCTGTGTTGTCGGGTTGCGTGTGGCCCTAGAAACCTTCACGAACCCTTTAGATGAGGAGGTTGATGCGGAGTGACCTTTTATTAGGCAAGGATCCCACTTCCCGAACGTCCGTCGAGGACGATTCCCTCTTTTCACAATTCGTTCATGCTTGGAACGGATTCGTGTCTGACACGGCCACATTTGTTCGGTCACCAAGGTTAAGAAAATGGCGAGAACGGGAGACATGAGTGTTGTGAGCCGTGAGTACGAGAGGAGCATCATCCACGCCTGGAAGAACTTCGTCGCGGGAGACATCGTGCGAATGGTGAGTCACCTCGCGTTCCTTCACACTTGAACTCTTCGATTCCGTCTGGCTCCCTTGGCGTCTTGCTTTCGGAGGGAGACTGGATACACGCTGCTGCCCGTTGGACCACGCTCTTTGTGCTCCGGTTTTGGCGCGTGTGTTTTGACTGGTGCCGACTTGAACGCTGAATCTTGTGCGATTGGGCTTGGCGCAAAGTTGAGGTCGACAAAGCGTTATGGCATGTGTCAAGGAGCAACGTGTGTGTCTCAGGAACTTGCGATAACGGTAGACCACAAGGCCACCTTCCCGCTGATAGAGGTGTACATGGAAGTACGCGGGTTAGAAGGACATCCGAAACACCCACCTTCCCAAGACGATCGATCGTCGGCCATGGCCAAGACAGCGTATCAAAACGAGTCTTCAGGAGGGACCGATTTTTCTGGGACACAGTCGGAACACCTCTCGGACAGCACATCCTGCCCGTCCTTTATGACTGTTGTAGCCAGCGATATGATTCTTGCCATGCCTGTGTGGCGGTGGTACCATCAGCAGCCACTGGGGATGAGACAGCGCCGAAACAGTGGCGCCTCGGGGCAGCAAATGTACCTCAGGGCGTACTCGAAGAGCAATATCTTCATGAGGCATCACGCGCGATGTCTTGGGGGTCGCGCGTTTTGAAGTTTGGCGCATGCCGCTCAACTAGGGTCGGCAGGGAGAGTTAGCTGGTTGGTGATTTCATCTCGTTAGGAAACACGTGCCCTCCTCTTTTTCGGCTGGCGCGATCCCTCCAGATGTTGATACAGGTCCAGTTCATCAAGCGAGAGCTGCTGATCGCTACGACGGCCATCGGGCAGCTGGCAAGGGAGAACGAACTGAATCTCAGGATGATGGCCACGGTCCCTGCCTTCCTCTTGGCCTGGGGGTCCTACAGGACGGGTGTGATAACTGCTGCCAACGTTTCACCACTCTGACCGTAGCGCAAAACAGGCGACACGGCGGATGACCAGTACTCTGCGTTACAAAGGTTTTGATGTTTAATGCACTATCAGTAGAGGACACCATGACATGATGGAGCAGCGACCTACGCGCTGACACGCCCACGTGTGTCACTGGGTCGTGCTGGCGGACGCTGCAGCTGCTCCCCGAGATGTCCGCCAATCTGGGTCCAAATCTGGATTCATGCCGCAGTACACAATCCATTGATGTACGCGTCGCACAGACCAAATCCCTCCAACTGCTGGTCGGCCCAGTCCACTAGTGGTGTGAGCTGATGCTGTACACCCGCAGTGCAGGAGATTGGGTCTGGGACGGTGCGTAGAGGAGCGGTGGGTTGCGAATTGAATGGACCCAAATTTTCGGACCTTTCGGGCCGCAGCTGCAGCTTACGACACAGATCTGGGTGTACCAATACGCAGCTCACGTTCGATAATGTCCTTCTCTGATTTCCATTTCGACCCTTTCGAGCCTGAAGATCGTTTCCGATAATTGTGGCTTCCTACTCTGGTCAGAAACTGGTTTTGTCGTCACCCCCGTGTGCCCTCTTGGAAGTGCTTAAGAGGGCTCCGTGACTACATTGGCCCATCATGGTTGTTGTACCCTCCCCTTCGTTTCCCGGGACACCTCGCCTCCTATCGCAAGCCCGTCGCTGATGTACTTGGCGTGTTTCCTGACGTTGGGTGGCGTGATGCTCTCGCTCGCAGTGAGGCCGGCATACTACTGGCTCAAGTCTGAGAAGTCGCGCGAGTCGACGTTCACGGCGATGTGCACCATTGCGCTGGCCATGGAAAGACTTCTCAACCTCCGACATCGGGAAGGGACGTGGTGAGAGTGAGGGTCCAAATAATTGTGAGGTTTATGATGGAATGCAGCAAAACACGCCATTTGCTCCGCAAAAGGCCATCACGCACGTCCTTTGTACCACCTGGTATGTCATGAGACCGTTGTTCGTGGCTTGTATAACAGGCGTTTTTTTTTGCGGGCGCACACGCCGTAGTGGTACACTGCTCCTCCCCTCCCCGGCCTGCTCCCCGGCCGGGGCCGAAATCGACCTTGTGAGTCCCTCGCGGGCGAACCAGGCCACAACAGATAGTAGGTGGGTGGTGTCCCAAGGTGCAACTCACCGCCGCGCTGGCTCAGCGTGGCGGTGAGGATGCACAGACGGTGGTAGTGGCGAGAGGTGTATGTGGACCTTGTCCCCGCGGCAGCAATGCAAAGCGGCAAACTGCACCTGGTAACCACCGTCGCGGAAAACGTGGCCCACGAAGCTGGAGGAGCAGAGAGATTCGTAAAAACCACGCGAGTAAGCACCGTTCGCGGGAGAAGGGAGATAACCGCGGGCGACGCGGGGGGGGAGTGCTGCACCCTCCTCGTCCAAACACCACAGGCAAGCACCGAGCCCTGCAAAGATGGATCGATGCGAAGAAACTCGCCGCTCGGATTAAACGGAAGAAA